TTGAGCAGGAGTTTGGACCATGAGTTTGAGAAACCTATTGAGCCCCTTTCCAACGTGAAATTATGAGGCCATGTTTTTCAGAGGCACCCTGAAATACAACTCCCGCTGACTTCTGTATAATATTCCCATTCCAATGAAAGTTACATCTGAAAGTATTCTTGAAAATCCCACTTGAAACTTACAAGCACATTCGGAATCCTTACAACTGTAGGTGCAGGGCCCCTTCAAGTTCGCAACTGCAACTTCCACTAATGCCATTAGAATCAGATTGCTCACAGCAGCTCCTACCAGCCTTCCTTGCTCAGATTGCTTTGTCAATAATTTTTCCTTTGGGGAGTTCCTCCAACCTGATGTTCATGTTGTTTTTCAGCAGCGAAGTCCTATTTTCATTCAAACTTCATCAGAATAATGTCATTATATCCAGACACAAATTTACAGTACCTCATACTAAAAAACCTGCAGGCTGTCCTGGCTACTCACCAACTTTTCCAATAGGAACAAAGAGATGGTAACCTATTGCTCAACTTCAGTTCCCTTCTCACCACCCTGTTTATAACAAGCATATTCCTGTATCACACATTGAGTGGGCACCAGGGATCTTACCCACTCAGTGGGTGTAAATGGGTCCCTGACATACAGAATTTTCTTCTGTGAAGATATATGCCATATAGTTTTACATGCATTTTACAGCTTGGTGTTTCACTGCAGAAGCACATGATTCTTTCATCCTCATTCTCCCATTTGCAAGGCCATTTATATCATGACATTTTTTTCCATAGCGTTTGGTACTGATGTGTCTGAGAAATGCTGGCTCTTCATGAGCTAAGGGGAAGACAGTATACCTTATGTTTTGCACTTACTCTCATCGGACTTGCACTGATTCAAACACTAAATACTCAATGCTGTAGGTCCATTCTCGTGATCTTTTCATGATCTCATGACATGATACAGGGAATCCCAAGCCTCAAAATAAAATAAATACAAGGAAATTTTCCAACTTGTAAAATTCAAACAGTCTGTTTTGTACAGAATCTATGCATTTTCTTTGCAGAATTGATAACTTATGTGAACAATCATGGATGTCATGACAGCCAAGAGCCCTTATTTAAACACATTAACAGAACTCACCTGATACCAGTGAAACAAAAAAAAAACCCGACAAACCTAATTTTTTACTTCAAATGTGTGCAATATAATAAATGTTGCTGAAATGTTATTCCATGTATTTTTTTATTTCAGAACATACACACATTTTCATGTTCAGGAGCTCTGATACAAAATGTAAACGGCACCCAATCACTGCCAGGATAATAACTAGCAGAAAGCACTGATCATTAAAGTTGGATACATTAATGGCAAACAGTTTCACACTCACTTAGAGACTTCAAATTAAATCTGCTTGCCTTATTCATATGCCTGACTCCAGCAGAGTAAGATTTATCCTGGTACAACATCCTTAATTGAAATTGCACTAAAATAAGAACATTTCTGATCCATTTGATTAACACAGGCAGCATTAGCCCAATGTCCAGCCTGTTCATGTGAAACAGCCCCATGCAATTTGACACAACTGGAATTTACCACTCCAGAGAGACCTGTGCCTTGACTTAAACAGATGCACAGGAGCAGAACTGAAACACAGACTCCTAAGATCACCCCTTGCAGTATGCAATGTTAAACACCATTCGCTTTCAAGAACACTTACAGTACAGCAATTAGAAATGAAGGGGGGAATAAAGAATAATCCCACTCTTCTTTTTATGGCCTACAGGATGAAATACACTTGTTTCAGAATTTATTATGACCATCACTATTTCATCGCTAGTTCAAATCATAACTGAAAAACAAGGTTTGTGGGATTAAATTAAATCAGTTATGTTCCTCTTCCCAGCCAGGGCATGAAGCTTAACACCTGATAAATTACAAAGTGACCAGAAAAATGAAGAACTTCCTCTTTTTGTTAGAAAGACTGAAAGATACTTTATCTAACCATTTGTTCATTGTCAGCATTTAGGTCAGCTGCAGCAACTTGCACACTTCTATACATCTTGTGGTTTAACTTGACTTAGTGGAAGAGAGAGGGTTTTCCTGTGTTTCCATGCACTGAGCAATCATTACCATTTACAACATTTGTACAACTGTTCTGGTTTTGTTCGCAGCAGAAAACAATACATAGTTGTGCACTGGCCTTTCTGTTCCATTGAAATGATGCACCAAGTCTTCAAAACAGTCTCCCTCCCAGTTCACTGCAACTTAGTGCACCTTGTACCTTGCCTGTGCTATTGATTCCTCACTAATACAAGCATCCTATTTTTGTCTGTAATTTTCCACATTTAAAACTTCTTTTTTTAATGTTTGGCTTTTTTTACATTCTTCTAATTCTCTTTTCTGAATACCAAAAGGACTAAAAATGGCCTCTTTTAACTGCTAGTTGTTCATGTACTTATTTTTTTAATGGAGCAGCATTAAATATAGGGCTCAGCCCACCAGTATTTTACACAAGCAGCAGAGTCCCACACACTTCTCCTGAAGCTTTACCCGAAAAAAAAATGCAGTCCTTTATTCTCACAAAATGAGCTTTGCGTTACTTTTTTTTGTTCACCAAAACATGCCCAGGTACAACCGTTCAGTATGTTGGGTAATTCCTGCTGCAATGTATCAGGTAGAGCTCAGATTATGGACCAAATTCAGATGCTGCAACTCTACTGGCACACTGTTCATACCAGTAAAGCGAAGCAGATGCTTTGATCCACCATTACTAGAAGAGCAGTGAGTGCTCACTCAGAACAACAGGATGAGCTTTTTAATATAATTAGAAGCCAAAAGAGATTTTTGGAAACTAAGTCATTATTTCACACTCCCAGACACAATTACCTCCTGTTCACTTTATTCACACAGAAGAGACCAAGGAATTCTGCACACATGAATGATCATGCTTCAGCCCCAAAATCAAAAGAGGTTATGCTGTAACACAGTCATGAGAAAGCCTCATTTAGAAACCACAGCGAAGTTTTAAGCCAGGGGAGCCAAAATCATGGGGCACTGTTCCAGCCCAGAGGGGACACTGGGCTCACTTCCTCACAGGTAGCACCCCACTCTGCAGAGGCTCTGCAGCTCCCCGGGACCGCCTGCCTGCTGGTAGCAGCGCTGGCAAACACACGCAGGGCGGTTGCGAGGCAGGCTGACAGGACTGTGCGGTGGGTAGCAAGGGTGGGTCGTAAAGTAGTGGGTGGATAAAAAGCAAGCGACACGCTCTACAAGCAGATCATTTTCAAGCACTGCCCCAGGACACACAGAATGATATATAAAAAAAATAAAAAAAACACCCCACAGGATACAGCCAAAACCCAGACATCCAAAATCCACTCAGCACCACAGCAGAGTACGTACAGAGATAACACAAAACACCTCAGTCCACGACAACACCTTACTTAACCTTTATCTTACACATCAAATTAACTATTCCTCCCATTTTTAGCACTGCTATCTGGAATTTAGGAATAGATCCTAACAGGCCAATTACAAGATCTCCCACTGATAGAAATTATTCACATTATTTGTGCCGATGATGAACTGAGGGAATGGACACACATAATGCAGTCACCCAGCAAGTGTATAAGCAACCTTATGCAATAATCTTTTAACTAGTTTATTAAATTAGTTTCCTTTTCAGAGTACGTTCAACATCTAATGCCAAAATTTAATCAAGAATAGCTTAGTAGCCAGTTATCACCTCTATAAGCACTAACACAAGAAACAGACATATTACACATCACAAACATTTTCACACTTACGCACACACACACTTATCAGCAGTTTAATAAACTGTCTAACAACAGTTAATAAACAGTTTAATAAACTGTTAAAATCAGTTTATTTTCACAAATCACTTTCCTTTATCCGACTCATACTCTTCATCATTTCTGAAGGCACAACACCCAAATAGGCAATGTAAAATGTACTTCTTGTAGAAAAATCTATAGTCTCCTAAGAGAACAGTTTGGCAAAACCACTTTCATTTAAAAACTCAGGTTCCAAAATGAGCCTTCGAAGAGCATCAGAGAATATCGCAAAGATTAAAAACTACTTGAGGTGTCTGTACTTCTCGTATGCAACACACCACTTAACCTTTAATAAAACAAGAGCTTTTCAGGAAATTATAAAAGCAGAAGTAGTAAAATCTGTTTTGGGTTGGCTTTTTTTTAATCAAGTTTTAACGATGGGGCAGAGTCTCTGGGCAAAGCTCCCAGAAGGAGCCAGACCACCATCTGCCTCCACCACAGAGCAATAACAATTCACAAGAAACAAGCATCTAACCAGCACTCTGAAATCAAACACTAGCTTGACTCCGTAAAAGCTCCATCACAGCTATGAACAGACAGCTGAACGTTTTCTTCCTCTTTGTACATAAATATAACTTTGGACACTTGATAAAGGGGAAAAATAAATCATTTTATGCATTTTTATGCTTCCCTGTTATGCCTGTTATCAATCAATGTCAAGAAATATCTTACATATCTTATGTATTGTTAGCACTATATAATATATATAAATATATAATTTTTTGTTTCCACACATGCTAATGTTTTTCCAGTATGATAAATGTCTTTTTAAATCCTGCACTCCTTGTCACGCTGTAGATCCACTTCTATTTGACAGTGACTCCTGGACATACATGTCAAGACAAAAATAAATACTGCTGTGATGGCAAACGTTTCAGAACTCTCAGAACACTAATACAGTGGCACTTGAAAGACTTTATAAATACAACAAAAAAGACAATAGTTAAATAGAAACCTGCTTTAACATAGCCATAAAACCTGCACTGCATTTGTGAGATCTGTACTTGCTCCTGCAAAAGCAGCTCCTAATCTTTGAACATGTCAAATGTTGCACTCCAGCCCCCCCACCCATACTATTTGAAAGTCCATGTTGCTATTTTAAGGAAGCATCCCCTCCAGCTGTACATAAGCAACACTGTAATTCCCAAACAATTGAGGTAATTATAAAAATGAATATCATTTATTGGTTTCTTGATTACTATCATGTCATATTTTCTTTCATACAAAAAGTCTGATTTTCAGCATTATGCTTTCCAAGGGCAACCCTTTCACACTAAGGGAGATAAAGATGTGTTAGGAATTGTGCAAGAGTTTCCGTTAACCATCTTCAGCCTACAAGAACTCCATTAACAAGATTTTGGTACAGAATCATTGCCTGACATTTTAGAGAAGGGGAAAGGAGCTTTACACGTATTTTCTGATCCACTTTATTTATTTACTTTAATAGCATCTAACTCAATGGAAGGGAAGGGGTAAAAAAAGAAAGAAAGAAATCATCACATTACTGTATGTTACCCTTCAGCAGTCTTTGGAGGAAATCAGAAGCCAGGCTGCTTTTCCCGGCTCCCTCCCTCACTCAAGCCAGCTGGAGCCGCTCCTCTCCCCAGCAGGGCTCAGCCACCAGCCAGGGCAGTTGGCAGGCACCCGCTGCCCCGTCACAACCGCGGCTTCCTGAGCAATGTTCTGCTGAGGTCCTTCACCTCTTCAGGGCTGCCAACCCTCTCATAGCCCAGCAGGACCATGGGCTGGTGGCAGTACTCCTCAACCTGCTTGATCTGCTGGTAGCTGAGTGCAGTTCTCCAGGCGCTCAGCGCCTGGGTGGCGTTCCTGGCCGACACCACGAAGGGCTTGGAGGAGTAGCCGGGGCCACTGGTCATGTTGAGGGCAAACTTTTCCATCTCTGGGCTGACGGCCAGGTTGACAAAGCTGTACACCTGCCGCAGGGTCTTGATGGGCTCCACCACCAGGTCCTCATAGCGCACAACCATATAGTTCCCCTGGAGCCAGTCAGGGGGGTGCAGAGCAGTCTGCAGGGTCTTGGCCATGCTACTGCAGATGACCTCCATGGCACCCAGGGCATGGTAGTCTGAGCCACCACCGCCCTCCTTCTTCCCGCCCAGCTTGTGGCCAGCATCAAGGAAGGGCATGCGGTGGATGTGGGGGTCCCGGCTCCTCACCACCTGCAGGCTCTCCCGGATGAGGCCGTGCCGGGACTTAATACGAGAGCTGGCGACAGCCCTGGGGTCCCGCACCAGGTGGATGACTTTGAGGTCCAGAGTCGGGTCCCGCATGAGCGGGGCGAGGACAGCCAAGTCAAAGACACGGACACCTTTGATGACCAGCGTGCGATACTTGTGGCATTCCTCCTGGAAGCGGCTGAGGCGCTGCGGGGGACACTTCTTGCACACCCGGTCATCCACCATGCCCACCACCTCCTTACGGTAGGCCGGGCAGAGGGGCGAAGAGCAGATGACCTTGTTGGTGGCCGCCCCGAAGATGCCCAGTGTGGTGAGGTTCTTGCCGGCGCCCGCCGTGCTGTACAGCTGGAAGACGGAGAAGTCGCAGCGGTACAGGGAGCTCAGCATGTCGCGGGCTGCCCCTTGCAGCGAGACGGCGTCCCCAGGGTACAGCTTCTGCCAGACGTGCCACACCGGCTCGTAGAGGAAGAAAACCTCGGGGTTCTGGTTGAAGAGCTCCCCGAAGAAGGACGATCCCGAGCGCCAGGTAGTGAAGACATAGACCAGCTGCCGCCGGGGGCCCGCCGGGCCGCCGCTCCCGGCCGGCGGCGGCGGAGGTGGCGGCGGGAGACGGTGGCGAGGGGCGGCCGGGGTCTCCCCGCAGCGCCGCGGCTCCCGCCGCCACTTGTACTCCAGCAGGTTGAGGGCAGCGAGGAGCAGCAGGAGCGCGTAGCCCAGGCACAGCGCCAGCGCCTTCCGCCGGCACACTTTCATGCTGGGCGGCGGCGGGGCCAACTGTTGCTCAGCGCCCCGGCGCCCCGGGGCCCGCGGCGGGCAGCAGGGCGCACCGCCCCCGGCGCCGTCTCCTGCCCGGCCCCCCGTGCCCGGCCCGCATGGCGCAGCCGCCGCGACGGCCCCGCCGCCGCCCCCGCCCCGCCGCTGCCCTACTTAGTAGCCGCGCGGCCACCCGCGCTTCTGCCGCGCCGCCATCGCCGACCGGCCGCGGGCGCCGCCGCAACCTCTCTCACGGCACCCGCCGAAGCGAGGCGGTGCCGCGCTCTGCTCCGCTCCGCCCCACAGCGCTGCCACGGGGGCGGGAGCAAGGGGCGGAGGGCGGGAAGAGCGGAGGGGGCGCGGCGCCGCGCCGCCAGCGCGTATGGTGGTCCTGCCCCGTGCCGCACGGCAGCGGGCAGACCCCCGCCGCAGCTGCTGGGCCGGGAACCGCTCTCAGCTGCGGCCCGAAATGGCGGCGCCCTCCCCCGCGCTCCCTATTGGCGGCCGCAGCCGTCACTCTGCCGCAGCCCCGCGCCCGCCGCAGTGCACGGCCGGGTACGGAGCGCCCCGCGGCGGCGGAGGTCGCGTCCCTGCCCCAGCGGCAGCCCCGGCCCTGCGGGACAGCCCGGCCCGCTAGGTAACGGCACCCGGCCCCGCTCCGCCGGTGCAAGACGGGCGCTGTTTATGAGTTCCCCTGTGCCCTTGGCGGGGGGGCTCCGCCAGCCCGGCTGCGGGGTGCAGGGTCCGTCGGCAGTCGCGGCTCGGACAGCGAAGCTGCGCCGGTAACAGGAAACGGGAGAAACAACCGTAAAAGGCCTGAAATGGGTAAGATGCCAGCGCTGGTCCTCGGCATCGTCAACTCCGATTACTCAAAAGCCCTCTAGTAACTCCTGGCTGTCAGACACTGGAAGGCTGTGAGCACAGGCGCTTTAAAGATCCGTCCCCAGAGCGCACGGTTATGTCAGGGCATCTTGTTTCGGAGGTTCCCCCCTTCCTCCGAGGGAGGGAAGAGCAGGGACAAGGACGATCACTGGTTAAAGAAGCACTCGGTGACTCTCTTCTGTCCATTGCCTTCACCCAGCAGCTCCCCCACCCGTGTAGCCTTTCCCACCCTTAAGAGGACTGTGCAGCCGCCCTCTAGAGAGCAGAGAGTAGGTTTGAGCTGCTAGAGAGCTACGCCTGACTCATTCCCCTACGATGGGTGCCACTGACAGAAGTTGTTGCTGGAGTATTTATTTTCTGACTGACACAGATCCAGCACTACAGCACCGTTTTACCTTACAGAGTGGATAAAACGACAATGCATCCAGTGTGCATCTTGTCTGGTAGCACTCTGTTTAAAAAAGGGAAGAAAAACGTACAGTTGGGTGAAGGAGGTAAACGTGTAAGCAATCTTTATATCTCCTATCAAAGGGATTGCTATACTCCTCCCAGGTTTTCCGCAGGGACATTAACAGCCAAGCTGCCTCTGCAGAAGAGCTTATAAGCCCTTCCAGCCCCAAAGTGATAGGTAACATCCATAGCAGGAGTGCTCCACTGTCCTCTGCTCGCTCCTCTGATCGATGAAGCCTCACAGGGCACTGCGAGGGGAGCGAACCCTGGCCCAAGACAGGAGTGGCACCCACAGACAGCCTGTGAGCTATACAGCGATTAGAGCACAGGGGACGAGTCATGGGAGTCACTTCATAAATTGCTAGCGACTCCCGGAGCAGTATTAAACTGTTAATGTGACTTTTCATACAGAGGTAATTTGCTAATAGCAGAATTAAAACCACCATGAAATATTTAAGAGAAGTCTGTAATTCATCAGATGGTGCAGGAAAAGGGGAAGCCATTTTTTATCCACAGCCCTGCCGAGGAAGCATTTAAAGTCCCATTCTACAGAAATCAAATGCAAAGTTTAAACCCAATAAGCTTAAAACAAGTAACTTTTGAATCATAGTATCTAATGAAAAGGGATATACTTTGCAGCCCCTTGCAGCATAAAACTCTTGCAGTTGTTTTATTCTTTAGTCCTAATCTTTGAGTTCTTCACATACAAGAGTACTTTTGCTTGTATCCCTTTTATAAAGGTACCAATCAAAAATGCTTTACATCCTCACTAAAGATGAAGTGACCTTCGCCCAGCTGAAGCAGAAATGTTTATTTTAAATTTTGGAATGGCTTGTAATAGCCTCAATGAAGCTATATGAAATGATGAGTAACAAACAGCAGCACTACAACACAGTAGTCAAAAAAAACAGTATCCCACACGAATATTGAACTGCAGTGCTAATGCAATAAAGGACACACTACAGGGAGCAAAACCAATTCATAGCAGTGAAAATCATTAAAATACCATGAAGTTAAAATTATTCCCCTCTTTCCAGTTTACTTGAAGGCAGGTACCGAATTTTGTAGGGGAAAACAAAAAAAAAAAATAGAAAATAACCAACCTACAAAGCCATCTCCAGTCCTTACACAATTTAAAATTTATCAAGTAACAAATAAACAGACATGAACTGCAAGTGTAACATTTGAAATGGCAAATCAGTAAACCCAAACACTGAAAGCTGTAATTGGATTGTGCACCCTCCCTGCCCTTACACAGTGGTTACATCTCTCTGAATCAGTGCATGTGCGAGGCTGGCACTAACTGCCTTCATCACATGGCTCCACCTCTACCCAGGAGCAGGGGTCAGAGACGCTCTTTTAAGTCGATGTACACACTGCAAAATGGAATCTTGCTTTCTCAAAACCAGAGTTCTGTATGTATTTATTCTGTGCAGGTGGACTCAAGCACCCACACAGAACCCAACTGAAATGATTCAGGTTCAGTGCAGCTGCAATATTTGATCTTCCTGGAACGAGTTTCAGACCTGGTAGTCAAGTTATCACTTTAAGCAACTCAATATCAATGAATACTTAAGAAGTTTCTATGGAAAAGATTTATCAAGCCAATGTTCACACCAAGTTTGGTCGTGTGTGGGTTTTTTTATTAAATCATCTATACATCTGATGTAAAGTATTACAAACATAGATGGAAAAAACCCCAGATCACTCACATTGCAGAGCTGTTCATGAAGCTGACACACAAGTGTTTCGGGCCATGGTCATTGTGTACAAAGAACTTATAAGGATTCTGAATTTTGGTTTTTCTTCTGCAGGCTGAGATTTAAAGTATTTGCTGATCTTTGAGAGCAAGAGTGCAGGCAGGCAAGTGGGCAACACTCACCATCAAGAAGTGTAATAGCAAGTTCTTTGCTGTGCTTTGCCTTGCACCAGCTATTTGGTAAGGCACAGCAGTGCGTGCAGCCAGAGCAATGGGTTGTAACAGTGATTTAACTAACACAAGTTGCTGAAAAGTTCACACAACCCCAGGTTTAAAAGACAGATTCGTAAAAAAAGCATTGAGATTGTACCAATGAATCACTCATCTCTTTGCAACTACTAGGGAAAGCTATCATCTGGCAGCTGGCAGGGAAGAACTCTTGGGTTTTGCACTGAAGGGAAGAAAAGGTATGTCTATCAGAGGTAAAATGAATAATAGAAAAAGTGATGGGGCAGAGTTTTGTCATAATTCCAGGCCCAGGTTCCTCACTGAAGAGCACTCTGGTAACTTACCCACTTGCAGAGTTGCTTCCATGATTTTTACAGCTGCCCCCAGATAAAAAAAACAAACATGAAATAGAGCCCCAGTTCAGTGAAATGCTGAAGTATTTGCTTCATTTTAATCATGGGCTTAATTACGACAGTAGCCAATTGAAAATTGAACTAAAATCAGCACCATAGTGAAGGAGTTACTTTGTATCTTTTCAGATAATAAAAGCACTTTGCTTAGTCTCTCAAACCGCTTTTGGAGAGCAGGTAGAGTGTCTCAGCAGATGGTTCAGGCTCTGTGGTTCAGGCTCTGCGTGGTCTTACCATCTTGCCTATCTGCCAGAGTAAAGGTGTGCAAGAGGAACATTCAGCCCTTCACAAATTTGTTCAGATACTTCAATGTCTATTTTCCACCCACTGTGTTGCTTCCTGCCGGTCTAATTTAGGCTCATTAGTTTCAGTACGCCAGATCACTCATGCCAAGTAATAAAACCTTCCTTTACTTGACAAGTAAAATTCACCATTAAAAAAAAAAAGAAATTAACACCCCACCCCCCCCCAATCACTTATTTCTAGACCAACTTAATTTTTTAAACATTACATCTTGTTTGCTTTCACAAAGCAGAAAAGACTGCATCTTCCCCTGTGCAAGTACTACACGCTACAACCCTGTCATCCCTCAGACGTAAAGAAGGTGGCTGTACTTACCCCAGATTCTGCAGCCAGCAATGTGTAAAGTGAGGGGTAAGTAACTGTGATTAAAATTCCCTGATTTAAGCTACAAGGAAAAAAAAATATGAGCTTTTGCATTTAATGCTTAAATATTTTATGACACAGTTTAGTATTTTATATCTAGTTATTATGATTTTTACATGGAATATTTAGACAACCCGAATCTTAATTAGTTGAATTATTTATCACCCTCAAAGTGATACCACCCAGGCCAGACTTCTCCAAGATTCCTCCCCCCCCCCCGCCCCCCCCCCAATATCCCTTTGTTTAACAGATGGGGCCACAAAAGGTTTGATCCTTACTGGGACACTTCCTGATTTGATTTTGCTTTTAATGCTTTGCGACTCACCTTTCTCGTGTTCACAAGGGTGGAGTGGGCACAGGGTAAAGAAGTTTCTCCTGAGGTCAAACTTCAGCAAAACATTATCTTTAAAAAAATCACATTATTTTGGGATGAAAGATGAAGATTTATGCTTTTACACACATAGTGTGTGATAAGTTCAGGGTATTGATTAAGAAATCCTATATCTAGTCTAATCTATTCAGGATAAACATTCATGCTGAATTCCTCAAACACTGCTCAAAAGTGAAATTCTAAAAAATAAAGCATAAGTTATAAATCACAAAATGTGAACAAAATGCATATAAAATGGAGTAGCTGCCCAAACTTGGAGATCTATGAATTTAAGACTGTATTTTGGTATCACCACTAGAGATGGGTGAGAAAAATCTGCACAGTAGCGCTTAGAACTGCAGATGTTTACATTTTGCACCTTCCTTCAGTACTGTGCAAAACTTTTAACAGCTTTTTCAAGG